TACATAACCCCTCCTCAAAAAGCTTTATGATATACATGTTGTGTACTTATCTAAAAATGGACTGGGTTATGCTTTTATAAATGCCTATTAATTTAGAAAATTCTAATGCTATTCCTAGTATAAAAAACAGTTTGTTCAGTGTTCAAATATGGCAGATTAACAATCACCTGAAAATTGAAACTTATAGTGAAAAAAGTATGCTTATTCAACTGTAGCAGCAAGCTATTTCAAGATGAACTTTACTGCTTTAACCTAGTAAATTTGAAGCAAAACAAGATATTCTTATCACTTATTCATTTATTATCTTGGGAAAATATTTAATAGTTTCATTTTTTTTCTGACCTTAGAACCAAAGTTAAAGTTATGAGATCTTTGGGTTTTGTTTTATTTTGAGTTTTCACACTGAAATATGAGATTTATGACTTAAAAGGGCTGTAAGATTTAGGTAACAGATCTGATTTACTTCTTAACAGGAAGTTAAAAAGCCTTTCAACGTTTTATAGACTTTGTGAGCATCCCATTTGAACCTTGTCTCGACCTTGTGCTGAAAAAATGAATATGGGGCAAACCGCCATTGGCTGATACGAGTCAGTGTACTATTCAGGGTGTCCCATGGTCATTATTAATTTTCTTTCTCATTACTAGAAAATTAATGATAGTTTCAAGCTGAAAGTTATAATGCAACTTAAAAAGAAAGAAGAAAGCATTAGCATAGTTTTTCGTCCCCAAATTAGACCACTAGCAGCTTTGTCTTTAAACAGCCTTGGCTTGATGTTAATACAGCTATTTGCTGTTTATTTTTAGGTAAATTAGATTGTAGCCTAACCGAGCCTCAGTTTCTGAATCTGTAAAGTGAGTATAATATATATATATCCTAGAATTCTGGAGATGATTCAATAAGATTCTGTGACAGTAACTTGGTGTGCCTGGCATATAAAGTGTTCAGAAAATTTAGTTTTCTTCCTTCAATTCCTATTTTCATCATTCAAAACAAAACAAAAACTTGTGAGGAAAAGACTCCTCTGAAGGTGCTGTTAGCAACAAATGAATGGCCAAGAAAGTCCTGTAGCATAATGAAAGATTGGACTGGCTGCTATCTGAGATACAGTTTACCTTCAGAATTCCTTATCATCGGAATGACAGTGTGTACATTTATTCCGACCGAGTTTGCCAGGTCTAATTGCTGTGATCTTTATAGCATACTTGTCGCTCTACAAACTTAGCCAGAGAAGTTAGCTAGGAAGCGGGCAGAGGTGGAAAGTGAACTCCTTGCTGCAAGGTTATTTCTGTTTTAACCGCTTTAAAGCCTTGGGGCAACAGCATGGAGCAAATCGCAGGGTAACAGGGGAATCTGGCCATATTTTAGTGAAAAGTACCCTCGGACTAAGTTTAAAATGGATGCGACCTACCTGAACTGGACTCCGTAGGGAGTGGTGGGAGGATTAAATACCAAAGAGGTGGTATACCTCCATACGTGTACGGTGTGTGTGATGTGTGCAGATCTACACCCACATGCCCATTCAAAGTACAATGTTAGACATTCATCTGAAGGAAAAACCTTTCCTTAGCATCCTCCTAAGTTAATTTTGAGGTCATTGAACAGATGGCACACAATACTAATATTAAATTACCCGTGTAAGACAAGTACAGCACCTAAATGAAGAGTGTAAAAGGAAACTATCCAATGAATTACTCTAGAATATCAAAATCATATCTTCAGAATTAACAATGGCACCATATGGCTTCAGAAACCAGAGATAAAAGTGAAGCTTTTTTGTGCGCATAAGCGCATGTGCATGTGTGTGTGTATAAAATTTGGGCTACGATGCTGATGCAAGAAGAGCTCATGTAACAATAAAACTTTCAGTTGCCCAGGAAGTATATTATTTTTAAATGATGTGGCAAGGAATTTGTTAAAATCTGATTAATTTCTCACTAAATTGCTTAATATAAAATCACAACAATTGTTTCTGGTATACATATACTTCCTTTTGCTGTTAGGTATACTTTAAAAGCCAAATTGTTTTGAGATCATAGTATGGCCAAAGAGTGAAAATGTATGAAGTTTGACAGCTTTAAATAAGCACTAGAATTTCTTAAAGAACAAACCTCACTTACAGTTAGGAAACAATATTTATATTTAAGGTTGAAAAGCCAGGATGTAGGAAAATTTTGCTAATTTGGAAGGTGACCTTTAAGTGCACCAAAACCAAATAATTTGTAGGCTATGACATAGGGCACATTCCTACAGAATTTGTGTGAGTGCTGCTTTAGTGGTTCTCGAAAGACAAGCAGAGCGCTGGAATGAAGGCTTTGCCCCTTCCCGTATGCACAGCAGCACTCTTTCAGAGGTTGCCATTCACGCGAGCTCTCTCAGCAGCTAATGAGATGGTTCATAGTAGAAAGCAATCTGTTTTTAAGAATGTTTAGATCAAAAGTAATTTCTAATCTATGAAATAAAGTCTCTTCAATACCCTTCATTCACCAGTAAAGCTTTTATGTTTGTATTATTTACTTCAATCAGATGTTTTCAATTTTACCTTTCTTCCTTGCAAAAGTACTTGACATGGTTCACCAATACTGACCAACAGTTTTATTCTTTTCTTTCCCTCCTCTCCCAACAAAAAAGATTTTGACAGAGAGAATGAAAGAGAGAGAAACATCTTTGGGTAAATGATTTGCAAGCATCTGTGCTTTAAGCTACTTTTTATGAACACTCCTTAGTAAATGACTCAAGGTAAAAAAGCAGAAAAGCATCCAATGTTAGGAAATTGCAATCCAATACCATGTAATTTAAACCTGCAGTTGCTTCTCTGGTGCTAAATGACATACAGATGGGTAGCTCAGTTCTCTCAGCTCTGGGAACACAATTGGTCTTTTTGTATGAATGAATGTACATTAACAAAATATCTTGGACAGAATCATTTAATTGTACAGAGTTTAATTATCTATGCCATTGGAAAGAATAATTGTAACTAAGATTCTGTCATGTTAAATTTGCAAGTAATGACTTTCTTTGACAAAAATTAACGAAGATAAAGCCATCTGACAAATAAAATAAACACAAAAAGATAACTTCCAAGAAGTCTATAATGAATTGAGTAAGAACTAACTTCTTGTAGTCACCTTACATAGGAACAGTAGGGTTGAATTTAAGACGTTGAATGGCTTGCTGTGACAAGGACCATTTCCATCTACCCCTCTGACAATATTAAAAATATACGTGAAGTCGTACGATTTGGGCACAGCCTAGTGTAATAGGGGGTCCAGTAAGTTGAGAGGCCAGTGCATCACAAGTGTGACATGTCAGCTGTTCTTGTGGCTCTTTCCAGCCGAGGGGCCTAGTGGAGGTCAGTAGTGGCCTGTTGCTGTTTGACAGCCGGCAGGCCTGCTCAAGATGGCTGTCTGCGTCTCCCAGCTCCCCCTGGCTCTTCCCCTGCCATCTCCATGTTTCCTCCGAGAGAGTCCACCCCTCTGTCCTGGGGGTCCTGGTTCTGGGAGTTGATATCTTGCTTTAATTTCTCAATCAGAGAAACTGGTTACCCCTCACCTTGCCCCCCAGTTTCATTTCACCTGTCAAACACACTGTGACATCAAGTGCTTAGAATGTAAAGAAGTAGAAAGCATTCCACTTATAAATCAGACTTATTTAGATTTCAAAAGAAGTTGAGTTCAAGATTCAGGAACCCCAGCAAGCTTTCTTTTAGTTACTACTTCAAAACATGGCCAGGAATCATTTCATTGAAGACCATCTGCAAGCCCCTCTCCCAGTGTGATGGATGGCAAAGAAAAGCAGTTGCTCTGCAGTGAGTAATGGGTGCGCTGCCCCAGAGTTATATATCTTCTCAATCATTTGTGCAAGGAAAGTAAATGCTATACATAAACAGGTGTTGTCTGAACATTTTACTGCGGTCTGCAGAGGCTGAAATAAAAACGACCATTGTTATTGGAACCCCATTAGAATTACTTCACCATTCACATATACTTAATCTGTGACGTCTCCCTAAGCGCAAGGGAACGTCACCGTTCCGGGGAAAATGGGAATGAAAAAATAATGGGAGTTTTCCATGAACTTTTTGAAGCCTTCTTGTACATTTAGGAAAAAAAAAATCTCTGGAACCATGTCCACTTATTTTTGCTCTGCTTGTCCCCCCTCTCCTAGTTTTCTCATTCCTTTTCTGGGGATTTCTTGAATCTGCACGGTTGGATATGTCTTCTTGTATAGTCTAAGGGGCTCAAGGTAAAAGCATCCAATGTTAGGAAATTGCAATCCAATACCATGTAATTTAAACCTGCAGTTCCTTCTATGGTGCTAAATGACATACAGATGGGTAGCTCAGTTCTCAGCTCTGCGTCGTGGTTGACATGGCAAGATAGAGTCTTTCAGGAGACGTTTGTTGTTAAGAACTCCGGATAACCCAGAGAAGTGTCTGACAGAACCACAGAGAACAGCCATTCCTCGTTGTGGGAAAATACATTTTTAGGGTGCAAAGAAAAAACAAAGTAGTTTGGTAAGGAAAGCACCCAGAATGGAAATTAAATGATGACGCTTTCAAGCTGTCCTACCAACTTGCAAAATCATGGAATGGAAAGTTATGGTTTATCATCATGTCCACCTTCTTATGTGTGGATAAATCATGTTTGTAGATAGAGTTTTACTTATTGAATTCATGTGGGGGGATAAAGTATTTCGGGGCATGGGGGGGCAAAGGACGTACTCCCATTTTGGGAATGTTCACCGAGTTTTCAGTATCACGCGAGACACAGTTGGCTGCAGCACATTGTCACTGTGCCAGTCGAATCACCTGGGTCCGAAGAAGCAGTCTTTGTAAACTGAGAAATAGTCAGCTGGAGCTCAGGTAAGCCTTTCTTGTGCATTAGGGACTGGTCTGGTCATTGAAAAGCGAATGCAGAAGCTGTGCTGTGGCAGCGAGCCAAAGCAATTATTCAGGATTCAAACTAAAAAGCCTCGCTCTCCCATATATGCTCTCTCTTTTCAGGGTCATGTAGGGATAAAAAGAACTGTAAGGTGGTCTTTTCCCAGCAGGAACTGAGGAAGCGGCTAACACCCCTGCAGTACCATGTCACTCAGGAGAAAGGGACCGAAAGGTAAAGTGAGCTATAAGAAAAACTCATTTAACTAGAGCTAGCCTTCTTCATCCCCTCACCCTCTGTGAGCCCTTTTCCATGCCAATTAAAGACCTCTACATTCATTTGCCAACGTCTGCAAATCAGTGCCCCTGAAAAATTGCATTGTGTAGGTTAAGACTTTTATTTATCCTTCTCCCCATTTAATCAACAGTCTATCTTATGTAAAGTCCCAGGGCTTTTGCAAAAGGCCTGTTTTTAGTTTACTACAAACTGTGTGGAAGTAATAGCGACTTAGGTACATTTTTTGGGAAGACATCACAGTAAGCAAAACCATGAGGGACATGGCACTGAGCCAGGATGCTGAAATTTTGAAGGTGGCCATTGTAAGGATAGACGTTTTGGCTGCAAAAAGAAGGTAGCATAATTTAGTTCCTTTCTACCCCACTCCAATTTCTTTTTGAAGCACATGTGGAGAAAGTATTTATTGGCTCATTTGTGGTTGGAATGTCAAAAATTTTCAATAACTGCCCTCACATGGCTTTAGCCCTTGGAAGTTCGCCCTAAGTCCTGAAAAAGGAGTTTGTTCATTTCCAAGACTGATTTTCGTGAATAAAGTCTCTCTCAGCTGATTCCAGCTCAAAGCTCACGTGCCAGGTCCAACCATTTTGTTGTCTAATCTATACCATGGGGCTTGGCGCAAGGCCGTCACTTACCTCTGATCCAGATTTATTAATGATGTAACTTCTTGTTTTCATTCATGATCTGAAAGTGCTCTTTACCACACATGGGGTCCTTGCTAATAGGAACACTCTTCTTGTCATATATTGTTTACTGAGTTTACTGAATGTTGAATCCCTGACAGAGCCTGCTCTCGCCGCACAATGAGCGAGCAGTGGCCTCCAGTCTCAGCTCAGGAGGATCTCGACTTGTCTCGCTGTGTACGGGACCAGCTCAATGATTTAATGCACACAAACAACCCGCGATTAGGTCATTCTGAAAAACTCTGTTTATAAAAAATTGGCCCTCATAAAGAGGGTGAAAGGATAATAAAAACAAGCTGCAGAGTACATAGACTTTTTGTTGGGCTCACACAGCTGATTTGTATTAGCTGAATGACCTCCTAGCCCTTAAGATTGTTAACTTAGAAAAATATTCCCTTAAAGCTGCAATATTCCTTTTCAAACCGAAAAATAAGACTTCTTCCACTTCATGTCTCGGACTCCTCTGGGTTTTCTGATATACGCACTTGGATACTGTAGAGTAGCAGAAATCTTATCTGATAATATTTTTTAAGCAAATCTAAACTAGAGACAGTTTACAAAAATAGTAATTTATTTCTCCCTAAGCATTACATAATTAGATGGCTTGATTTTTTTAACCACTAGTTTTCAGTAGTTATATGCACATTTTATTATATAGATTGGAAATATATTAGTTATATTCCTATTCCCATATGTTTGGTCTGCTCTCATTATAGAACATAAAGCCCTTGACACGTTTATTAGAGAATTGTCATTTAAGTAAATGATGTTCTATAAGAAATAATATGAATGTTTAATTTTTTTTCATGCCCTGTTTATTGTCTGACAGTGCCTTCGAAGGAGAATACACACACCACCAAGATCCTGGAGTCTATAAGTGCATTGTTTGTGGAACGCCATTGTTCAAGTAAGTGTGTGAGAAACCTGTGGGCATGGATATATTACAGGATGACAACACACTATTTCTGTCCCTGCCCCCACCCCCACCCACCCCACCCAAATTGGAGTGATTCTTGACTTTCTTGGTTAATGACTAGTTAGACAATGAGGCAAGATCTTTCACTGTTTGGATCTTAAAAGTACCCATCATGAATTTGTTCATCTCAATAATTGTAGCACTTAGCAGGTCAATGAAAGAGATTTTGATGAGCATAAAAATTGGTTGCATAGCATATTTATTTATTTTTCTGGAAGGGATGGCCCTAAAATTATTTCTGGGACCAGTCTGAAGGTCTTCACATAGATCCTTCTGATTGAATAATATCCACCAGATCGGTTATTTTTACTTCTGCAATGAAGGGCAATATCTCTCTCTAGCAAAGAAAGTACCATGCAAATTATAGCAGGTACTTCTATATATGCAAGATAATGAATATGAAGTTCAAAGTTTTTGAATTCACCAAAAATATTTATTTTGAAGATCCCAAAATAGTGTACTACAAAATAGGAAGCACAGAGATTTTTTGACCAAAATAATGAGTTCCAACAATGTATTCTGGAGAGGATGGATTTTATTCGAGAGGAAAATTTTTACCAAATTTATCTGAGGAGCTCATACTTTCATGAGGATCTTGATTTTGGGGTGTGGTGGGGGTGGGAGGGGAAGAAACATTAATTGAGAGTAAATGGTATTTATATAAAACAGAATAACAAAGTTTCTTAGGAAACTTGTAAAACACATTCAATATCTCTCTATAAATGTTTCCCTTTGAAAACACTAGCATTTATAGATTCCCAGAAATAACAGGAAACAGTAGTTTCCTTGAAAAAAGATTTTTAAATTTAAAATATTTTCTTCAATTGCAAAAACCTCATTGCACATTAGTGTTCATTGAGAATCTATTCCAAATTCCTATGTATTTATTCTTCATGTTAAAGCCGACCCTTCAAATCCGTCACCCATTTCTTCTCAGAAAACACACATCCTTCAGCACCTTCAGCTGGTGTCAAAATAGTTGACAGAACACTAAAGGGAGTTGCGGAGCCATGTTAAACTTGTTACTAACCCAAGTGGTCAAATTGGCTACATCCCCCTTGCTTTTTGTTTAAAATTCCCCATCTCTTTTTCTATCATGGAATTCAGTCAAGTAGTGGATATAAGGAGAACTTACTGTTCTAAATAAGAAACAGAACTCCTGTAAATGGAGGATTTAACCCTTGTGAGATTTTGAGTCACAAATCCTAAAAGTGAGACCTGGTCCAAGCAGAAGTACTGGCGGGAGTAAGATTTCACATTTGGTGCAGTATTATTACGTCTCTATTTTATTCTTGCAAGAAAGCTTTTGTTTTCTGAGTTTTTAAAGAATATGATATATATATGTATATATATATATATGTTCTGTCTTGTTCCTTGAAAAACGATTTGCTTGTCTTTACTTTTTCTTTGTCTGCTTTTGGAAAATCACAGTTCCCACTCCACCCGTCTTCACATGGGACCTGCACCCTGGGGTTCTGGCAAAGGCTTGCTTGGGGCACCAGCCATGGACACTTTTGAGAGGATCCGTTTTCTGATCCCTAATATCTCCAACTGCATTCTCCTGCAATTGAGATGTCTGGGAAAGAGTCTGTGGGCTGCTGCTGCTTCCTTCTCAACTGCTCATCCATAATTGCTCTTCCCCTACTTTCCAAGAGGTGTCATACCTTTCACCTATCACCAATCTCGCTATGATGTACGGTCGGGTAAAATCTTCAGGATATCAAATAAAGCAACTGCGTGGGGAGGCACTGGAGCTGAAGGAGAGACTCACGAAAGTGTGGCAAAATAGCAATGACAATCGTAAGAAGGATAGTAATAATACTGATAATGAAATAATACTTTGTGTTGGGAAGCTTCTTGGCAGGGACCTTGTCTACTTATTTACCTCCCCACCTGCTGTCTCTCTTGTCTGTTCCACCTCTCTCGGTGAGGAGGATGCCATGAAAACATGTACCAGCATGTGTTGTTTTTTTTTTAAAATCATTTCATTAGGGGCTCATACAACTGTTACCACAATCCATACATACATCAATTGTGTAAAGCATATTTGTACATTCATTGCCCTCATCATTCTCAAAACATTTGTTCTCCACTTAAGACCCTGGCTTCAGTTCCTCATTTCCCCCCTCCCTCCCCACTTTAAGACCACCTCCCTCATGAACCCTCGATAATTTCTAAATAACTATTTTGTCATATCTCGCACTGTCCGACGTATCCCCTCACCCACTTTTCTGTTGTCCTTCCTCCAGGGAGGAGGTTACATGTAGATCCTTGTAATCAGTTCCCCCTTTCCACTCCACCCTCCTGGTATCACCACTCTCACCACTGGTCCTAAGGGATCATCTGTCCTGGATTCCCTGTGTTTCCAGTTCCGATCTGTATCAGTGTACATCCTCTGGTCTAGCCAGATTTGTAAGGTAGAATTGAGATCATGATAGTGGGGGGGTGAGGGAGGAGGTGAGGAAGTATTTAGGAACTAGAGGAAAGTTGTATGTTTCATTGTTTCTACACAGCACCCTGACTGGCTCATCTCCTCCTGCAACCCTTCCATAAAGGGATGTCTAATTGCCTACATATGGGCTTTGGGTCTCCACTCTGCACTCCCCCTCATTCACAATGATATGATTTTTTGTTCTTTGATGCCTGACACCTGATCCATTTTACACCTCATGATTACATAAGCTTTGTTGCTTCTGAGCTAAATGGTCGCTTGTTTACTTTCAAACCTTTAAGACCCTAGACGCTATTTATCTTTTGATAGCCGGGTACCACCAGCTTTCTTCGCCACATTTACTTATGCACCCATTTGTCTTCAGCGATCATATCAGGGAGGTGAGCACACAATGATATGATTTTTTGTTCTCCACCACGTGTCTTTGAATGAACAAGTCTTCATTCAGACATTGTAAAAGTCTGAATTGGTTGATGTACATGATCCTAAAAACTGGCTTTGCAAATTACGTTCTATTGTGGACCTCTTTGTTCATTAAATGATCTAAGTAGAAGATCTTGACAAAAATATACTTTTAAGCATGTATACAATATGCAGACACCATATAATTCATCTTTTGCATTGATTTAAATTTTTTTAAAAAATAGCAGGCTTCAAAAATTTGTGGAAAGATCATGACATTTTTCCATGAATTTTTTGAAGCCCCCTCACACAGAAACCATGCAATCATTTGAGTAGTAAAGAATGACTGAACTGAAAGAGACTTTGGTAGTAAGGGATTGACTAGGAAGAAGTAGATAAATTCTAAAGGATATAAAAATAAAAACAAAACAACAAAACCCAACTCCCTGCCATTGAGCTAATTCTGACTCTCAGATATCTGTATAAAATGATTGGGTTTTCTGCTCCCATAAAGAGTTACAGTCACTATAGGGTCACTATGAGTATAACAGATGTAAGAATAGCAGATATAAAAACAATCAATTCCTTTCTCTCTTGCCAACCTTGTTGGAGAGGGACAAGCTGTAGTTCCCTGAATGACAGAGAAATCTCTGTAGCATCAGCATAGTAGACCTCGCTGAAAATTGAACCTCTGAAACTCTCTGGAGATATACCTCCTAGAATTTTCTGGAAATCTACTCTCTGAGCCAAAAACCAAAAAACAAACAAAACTCATTGCCGCCAAGTCTATACTGACTGCTAGCGACCCGATAGGGCAGGGTAGAACTTGCCCTGTGAGTTTCTGAGACTATAACTCTTTATAGGAGTAGAAAGCCATATCTTTCTCCCTCAGAGTAGCTGGTGGTTTTGAACTGCTGACCTTGAAGATTGCAGCCAGTGAGTAGCCATTACACCACCTGGACTCCTTTTCCTTTTGGCATGCTGGGGGAAACGTCACAAGTAGATGTCTCATTGGCGGCCACCAGGTGCTGCTAATCTCTGTGAATTACAGGAGCTTGGCCCTGGAGATGCTACCTGCTCTAGGAGCCTGGCACTGTGGAGAAATGTCTTGCACCGCAGGAGCTGGGCCTTGAAGAAGCTGTGCTGCAGGAGCTGTGCGCTGGAGATACAGGGTACTCTATAGAGACTGGGGACTGGAGATGCTGATTTTTTGCAGCACTCTAGCACCCAGGAAGCTACCTTTGCTTCAGGAGCCTGGACAAAGGAAGCCCCTTGCACTGCAGGAGCCAGTTGAGCAAGCAAGTTCAGGACCCACATCCCTTTTAGCAGATCAGGCAAGGAAGGTAGCTTTGGAGGTAATAATTGGCACAGTCTACAGATTTTTTCAAAATTTTGAAAATATGGGTAAAAAGGTTTGAAAATCACTTATTTGTGTCGTGAATTAATGGTATAATTTTCAGAGGCCCTCTTGAGATGGTTGATTGCATGTGTAGTGCTTAAGATGTGGGGACCATGAGAGAGAAAGAGTCGTTTCATTTAGAAATAGGAGTAAGAGAGGGAAATGAGGCAGAATGTAACTGAGAAATAATATGAGAAATAAGAGCAAAAGTGAAGCAAAAAACGAAAAGAAATAAGAAGTACTAACTTCAAAAATACCTAACCACTAGCAGTGTAAAAAGGTCCTTTCTTTAACTGCCCTCTTTGCTATCTTATTCATACTCTGTGTGTGTGCGCGTAACCCTCTTCATTTACTTATCTGACATATATCCAGGACATACCTCTTTACAAAAAAGCCATTCTGTGATGCCCATTTCATTTTCGAACGTGTGCTCTACCCTAAATACATTCCCTCTCTGTACAATAGGTTGCTTTCTTAAGCTTACCAACCAGAAGAACCCTATCCACAGGCTTCTAATAAACCAAACATGTCATGTACTTGATTCCCTGATTATTGTTTTCTTCATGTTCACAAATTTTATCAACCCAGTTTATTTCTGGTATAGTACTACTGATGTAAAGTTAGTAAATTAATTAACAGGGACAACAATGTTTTCTCTTCACGTTATTAGAACTTCTA